GGGGGGGCTGGCGGGGGGAGAGGGAGAGAGCGAGAGCGAGACGTGCAGCAAACAGCTGGGCGCAACGAAAGATTAGGGGGCACGCTCGTAACGCAACGCAAAAAAAGGCGTTATTTTGCAGCACAACAATTAGCCGGGAAGTTACTCGCACCGCAAGGTGCGGCAATAATCATAGGCCCTAGAGATGAGAAGGGCAAGCACGAGCGTGTGCAAAAGTGGCTCTTCTTACCGGTCAAAGTCGGTGAGTCTGGACGAGTCCCTGAAGCCTTTGGCGAAAGGGTTGCTATCGATTTTCAGCTTGGTGATCTGCAAGAACAAAACACAAGACGACGTTAGTAAAAAGCTCAAAAAAAAAATAAAAAATATTCACACGTCCATCATTTCGAGATTGCTCGTTACCACCGCAGACAAACTACACAACATTTAGTATCGGGTTTGGCGGTGGCAATCGAGCAACCACTATGAATGATTCGATTCAATCACGATAGCGCGACTCTCGAGCACTTTACTATTAGAGTAGGAGGGTCTGCTTTGATTCGGTGGTCCTATGCCGGAGAGGGGCGGGCCGCGAGGCCCATTGATAAACTCACTCACGCACTAGCGCAACCGTGGCGTGGCGAGGCGTGGCCCCGAGCTCACGCCAACAGCGTATCGTGACTGGGCCGGGTGGTGGTGGGTATCGGAGGGGGCGCTCCCTAAAGGTGCGCGCACCAGGGGGGTGGGCCGTCGAGGAAACTCCCGACATAAAATCCACCGCTCTTTAAAAGGGAATTTTCCTGTGCTTTCAAATGCGAATGAATGGGAAATTGGTCTTAGGTCAAAATATATATTGCTAAGTGCCAAAAAAGTATTTAGAAAAAATAAATTAAATGAAATGGAAAGGATTTTGAGAAGCGACGGTTTTTCGAACCCTTAACGACTCAAAACATTTAATGCTCCCCGGGCACAATGTTGTCATTATTTCGCAGCCAGTGTTTAAGGGCGCGCCCCGGGCCGCCGCCGGCCCCCAGCTGTCAGGCGCCGTGACGGGCCCCGCGGGCGCCGCGCGCAGCCACGCCATCACTCACAGGGGTGCCAACTTGCGCTTCCGTCCGCAACCGTGTATTTCACCGAAAAGTTATGTGTCGGCCACGCCTCCACTGGCTCCGCCCCTGGCAACACTATTCCACCACCACCGCGGTGCCGGGGGGGCCTTCCAATGTGACCAACACCACCGCGACACGGGCGGCGATTTGCATAGCCAATGCCCGGCCAGCGCCAGCTCAGCTGCGGGCGCCAGGAGCAGTCTCAATCGAGCCGCAGCGCTGCTGAAAAGTCTCGTGTTGTTTTCGGGTTGGCACGCCTGGGCGCGCGCCCATGGCCGCGACACGGTTGGCTGCCCTGGCGGCCGGGCCGGGCCGCGCCCCATACCCTGCCACACACAACAAACTGTGCCGCCGCTGCTTGCATTCGTCTTTGAACGCCGTTCAGTTGGTACCGTGTGCTTACTGGGAAAATTCGCAGCTTCCAAATACAAAACAACAAGCAGCGGCGGGTTGCGCGCGCAAAAGTCTCTCAAAACGGCGCTTGCAGCAGAGACAAGGCGGACGTCTCAATCCTACGCTCACGCGCGAAGGAGGGGGCGAGCCGCATCGCTCCGGCGCTCATCGTATAAATCTCAATCAAAATCGAGTGGTCAGACAAAACAGCGCGCGGTTAGGCCCTAATGCGCGGTCCCCCGGGCCCCCGGGCCCCGCGCCGGGCCCCTCGGGAAGCGATCATATCGG